CACATAAAAAGAAAACAAAGAAGAAAGGAAAAAAATAATTTTTAAAAAACTGAGTTTCTGCCAGTCATGCTGGTGCATGCCTGTAATCCCAGTACTCGGAAGGTTGAGGCAAGAGGATTATCAATAATTTCAGGCCAACCTGGGCTACACAGTGAGTTTAGGGCCAGTCTGGAAAGCACAGCAAGACCCTGTTTCAAAAAACCAAAAAATAAAACAATAAAATTTTTAAAAATTACATTAGAGCCAGGCATGGAGGTACACACCTATAATCCCAGTTACTCAGGAAGCTGAGGCTGGAGGATTGTTTAGTTTGAGCCCAGGCTAGACAACATGAGGACACACTACCATAGAAAAACACGAACCGGGCTGGGGATACAGCTCAGCGGTACAAGTGCCGGCCTGGCAAGCACAAGGTCCTGAGTTCGATTGTCAGTACAATAAAAAAAAAAAACACAAAATAAAAACAGCCATGGCGTAGTGCTCTCAATATCAACAATGAATGCTGAAAGAATAGGATAACACCTTAGAAATTCTGTAAAAAAAATTTTCCAGGTTATGATTCCATATCCAATTGTATCATGAATATTATGAAGTAAATATAAAGACAATATAAATATATTTTCTTTTCCTTCCTTTCAGTTCTGGGGACTTAACCCAGGGTCTTCAACACTAAGCTATAACTTCAGCTCTCTTTTATTTTTTATTTTGAGACAGGGTCTAAGTCCCTCAATTTGCCCATCTTTTTTTTGGTTTGTTTGTTTTTTGTCTTTTTGAGGCAGGGTCTCACTAGATAGCCCAGGCTAGTCTCCAATTTGTGGGGATCCTCCTGCCTCAGTCTCCTGAGTGCTGGGCTCAAACTTTTACTCTTCTGCCTCCACCTCCCTAGACTGCTGGGATTACAAGTCAGTGTCACTATGCTCAGAAATATATTTTCAAACTCATATGATGTTTAAAAATGGATCTCCTAGTCAGGCTCAGCGGCTGATGCCTATAATCTCTGCACTCTAGAAGCCTAAGGCAAGAGGATCACCAATTCAAGCCCCCCCAAAACAACAACAAAAACCACAAATTCAAGCCCAGACTCAACAACTAAAATTAATTAACTGAAAAAGGACTGTGGACCAGGTGTGGTGGCACAAGGTTGTAATCCCCGCACTCAGGAGCTAGGAGCCAGGCATGCGGGTACATGCTTGTTATCCCAGCACTTAGGAGGCTGCGGCAGGAGGACAGTTTCAAGTTCAAGGCCAGCCTGGCTATATGTAGTGTGTCCAAGGCCAGCCTGAACTTTTTACAAACCAAGACCCTGTTGCAGGCAGGCACTTATGCCACTGAGCTATATCCCTGGCCCTAAGACCAT